ACAGAAGATATGAAACAAAAAAGCTGGACACAAAAGGATCTTTCCTTTTGGGACCTGTGATGGAGATGGGTTACAAATCAGTTTTCAGATGCACAGCAAGAAAAAAAAACTGTATGAGCATCTTACATAATTTGCCAAATGTATACAGAGGATATCAGCTGAGCCGTCAGCTTATGTGGACTGCCAATAAGATCAGTTGATCTACCAGGATTAGAGCTGGACTTGACTCGATTAATGTCAGAATTTTACTTAAATTACTAATAGAATGACACTTTACAGCTGTATTGTAAATGTTGCCATATTTTCAGAAAACCCAGTGTTGAAAAAGTAAGGGAACAAAAGGATTACTGCTTGGTTACGTTGTGCATTCTAATGATAGTTGTTGCAGTGATGTGGGGGATGACACACTGTGTGCGTCTTCCCTGCGCCCTCAGAAAAGGCTTATGCATAATATATACAAAAGTGTCGTGCCATATTACGCAACCACCGTGTGTGTGTGTGTTTGTGTAAAAGTGTGTGTGCTCTCAGGGACCCCACTCAGCCAACATCTATGTTTAGCAATCTATTCATGTCTACAGTTAAATTGTGCTCTCCACTCTAGTTATTACAGTGTCAGACAAAATGTGAAAGCACCAATAGCCATGGATGATAAGCACAGAAATAGAGCAAGTAGTCAGCAAATTGTCAGACACACACACACACACACACATTAATAAACTACATATGACAAAGCCTAAATCCCAACAAAATATTTTAGGCACATGGACCAACGCCCCAATCTTTCTCTCCTGTCTTGTCTCTTAATTTCTTTATTTCTTGCTTCAGTTGCTTTGCACTGAAACCTGGCAGATTAGATCTCATCCATCTTTGTCTCAGGTTGCTGCTACAGTTTCTATCTTGACAGCAAATGTGCACGTTGCTACCTTTTCCTTTAAAAGAAAAAAAGTCTAACCATGTGCTCAGTCTGTGATAGATTGTACAGTAGTAACACTCTGACACCAGGAAACGTGTCAGGGAGATATACAATACTCTTCTGTCTCTTTCTAAATCGGTACACACACAATCTCACACAGAAGACCAATTAAATCTGTAAAACACAAGATTGAACACTGCACATTTACAGCACAAGCAAGCAGAAGAAAACACAGTTCGAATCCACCACCATCCTCCACCGTCTGGGGAGCACAGCTGGACATAATCACAGACAGACGAGACAGGAGAAGCAAAACTGAATATGATGAGACTGAAACTAAGACACATAAAGCCAAAGAGCGTGGAAAGAAAAGCGTCTGGACTTCTTTAAGTTTCTTGAAGATGTTTCACCTTCAAGAAAAGCTCCTTAGACTACAGCGACCTGGATGACTGAGAACCTTCACAGACACAAGACACATGAACTTAACAGGCAAAAGTAAACCACAAAGACAGAACTGACTAAACACAGGAGGTAACACAGAAACACAGGCTAGGCATGGAAATATAGGAGGACTGGAAAAACTAAAAACCTAACAAGATCAAAATCAAAAGACCAAAATGAGAACATAACCTAAGTAACAGTATATCCAAACTGAAAACTACAACAATGTCGAACTGAAAATTATCGAACTGAAAACTGAGCAGAATGGTGGGTGCAAACCAAGGATCATGAGTACTATCCCATTGGTGGTGGCAACTGTTTCTCACTCTCACAGCTAGGGAGAACAAGAGACAGCTCAACTAAATCAGAGGGAAAAGAGACAAGGGAAGTCCACGGATTCAATAACACAGGATCAAACAAATCAGGACTGTTGCAGTTGCAGATCATTTGCTCTGTGCTTTTTTGTGTGTGTGCTGGACACAGTGATTTAAGAGTAAACCATTGCAGCTTTCTATTCATGTTAACACTTACGACTGAAGATATAATATTGTCTGACATATCAGTCCTTCCTTCATTTTTATTTTTTGTCTTTTTAACAAGATAATAGTGAAAGGCAGTGGAAAATTCTGCAAAACTAAAGGTTAAAGTAAACGTTTTCAAAATCAGCAATTCTTTCAATCATCAGCCATTAATGGGTTTTTACATTGTCTGCCAAGCTTAAAAATGTTTTCTGTTACTTTGGGAATTTGTTTTCATTTTTGCATCTGATTGTAAATGTGCTTGAACAAGTGCCTGAAAACATAACTGTATATGCTTTGTGTATATGGAGCCATCGGAGAGGTATGCTATGCAAATAGGCCACTTGGTGCTCCTGCGATCGGTGGTTGGGAAATTAAATGGGGAGCTGTGTGCTGATGGTTGGGGACAGTGCAACCATCAGCGCACATCTCCCATCATCGTCCTCCCTTCCTGTGCTGTCTGCCCATCCTTCGTCCCTCTTCGTTTCTCCTTTGTTTGTCGAGAGGCAGTTTTAGCTCCTGTATCATTAATAGTGATCCATCTGCCAGGCTGTAAACACACACACAGTACAGAGAAGAACATTGTGCTGTGTGTATCCAGCATAAGTCATCTGTAACACAACCACCCACCCACACACACACACACACACACACACACACACATTAATGATATATATGAGCGTACTGCATTACGGAGAATCCATTCAATTCCCTCAATTCACACAAGGTCCCTTCATCCTCCTTCATTTCTACCTCTCTTGTGATGGACAGATGAGACAGACAAGTTTATGGAAATATAGATGACTGGGTCAGTGATAGTAGATGGGAGTTGCTTGCCTCGTCAAGTAGGACACTGGGCCAGACAAAGCAGCTGTCATTCCTGGCAGAGATTACTGTGGGATGATGGGGGTCTGGATCAAAATAATGGTCACCCATCATGGTGTTAATAAAATTAGAATTATTATAAATTTAAAAAATGGAAACAAAGTTCTAAGAAAAATGATGTAAGCATTTTTTTTTTCAGTGAAAGGACTTTGGGCAGTAGGTCAGCATCAGATGGTACTAGTCGAGGAATATGTCCATTTAGGTTCTGTTATAAAGCATGATAGCCTAATGGTGTGATTAGACCGAAAGAAAATGTTGTTTTCTCACAACACATAGCTAAGTAAGTCATACAAAATCTGTGCACACACTGTCTGACATAAAAAAGGAAGTCTTCTGTCCTGTTTTTGTTTTTGTTTTGTTTTTTGTTTTTTGATTTTTATTGATTAGCATTCAAATATCTCAGTGAAAACAGAACAAAGATCTACCACAAAGCAAGAAAGCATGTTTTCTGCATATGGTGTCTCTATTCTCCTCTTTTGTGTCTTCTTTCCCTCCTCTTTTGGGATTTCTGTGGTTCTCCCTGATATCACATTTGCTTTATATTGAGACAGAAAAAAAAGAGAGAGTGTGAATATTTGAATGAATCAAAACTTTTACTTAACTCCAGCTATTGGAACTATACTGGAATAAAGTAGTTCTCCATTTCTATGTTGGGTAATATTTTTGGGCTGCAAGTGTTCCAGAAACGCTCTATCACCTGTACATGCACATATAATGAGGGGTAAAACTTCACTAATGTTTGGTCTAAACACAGCATTAATACTCTGTTTCGCTTTCAGAGACCCCGTTCCCACAACATATTGCCATTCATTGTTAATATAAAAATACCAAGCATTTTTAGAATCTTAAAATATGAACAAAAGGATCCCTAGAGATTGTGCTTGAACTAATAATCATGGAAATCCATACTATCCTTCTTGGTGGGTGGGTGTTTTGGGGTGTGTGTGTGTGTGTGTGTGTGTGTGTGTGTGTGTGTGTG